AAAGTTGATGGCTTAGTCCTTTGCCTTCTCTAATCACTCCACCACTACCTTCAATCTTCCTAAACAAGTGACTTTTGTGGAGGAATTTGAAAGTTTAACGGTTGATTCACAAGATTGAGCAAGAAATGGAGTTGGAGTTGAAGGCTTTCTTCTTGTATTTTTCTCCAAGAGGTTCGGCCAAGCTTGCAGAAATTTAGGTGCTTTTTGGGTCAAAATTGAGTATTAGTAAAGGTAAGAAATAATGGTCAAAGTCAAGGTTAAATCACAAGGTGACACTTGTCACCTTTTTGGTTTAAAACTTATCTTTTTGTCTCTCCAATACAAATATCTTAACACCTTGTAAAATAATATCACTTAATACAAAATTCCAACAAGTTGTCAAAAATATAATGCATTTACCGCACTTGCGGGTCCCACGTTCAAAATACGCTCTTAATTTCTCAAAAACTAACCGATACTAGAAAAATCATTTTAAAACTATCTTTGCTCATAAACTTTATCTGGGGAATTTTTCTAATAAAGAAAATGTAGAAAAGGCGGGCGATTAAAAAAAATAAACCCTAGAAATGTGAGAAAATTTTTGGGTTCTCACTCTCATACTTTTCGGGGCGTCACAAAGAGAAATCGCTATTAGCAAGATTAGGAAATTGACCGCACAAAATCTCTCGCAGTTCCCCTAGAAAACGCAAATAAATAAAGTCCATCGTCACCCCTTTGCCTTCAAAGAGCATAGAATTCCTAGCATAAATTCTTGGTTGCTTTACTGGTTGAGCCATAATTTTATCTTATTGTCTTATTTAACCTGGTACATGTTTAACTTGGTACAAGTCGAAATTCATAATGCATTATGCTAGGTTGACCAACTAGTGAGGTGTGTACAATAAATTTAGTGAATTAGAGGGAGTTTTGTGCCAAAAGGTTTTTGTGATAAGAGGTGTTAAGAGTTAATTGGAGGAATACTAGATATTTTGGTGATTAGAGACAAATAGAGAGACAAAGAGATAGGCATGAACCATCCTTCGCTAAATGTCGATCATCTAACTAGGGTTGACCAGACCACCAAGACTTCTTCTTATCCAACCAATCTATCATTCCATCACTATTTCTTCTTCCTTGGCTGACTTTGAGAGAGAGAAAGGGAGAGAAAAAAAACCTCAAGTTCTAGCCTTGATCTCTTGCTTGATTCTTGGAAAATCCAAAGAAAAATCCTAATTTACTCGGTAGATCTTTGAAGCAAGCGTGGGAGAAAGCTTTTGGTGAAGTTCTTGGAGGAAGGAAGCTCTTGATTTGCTTTCCATATTAGGTTTTTGAGGTAATTTGTTAGGAAACTTCTCTTAACTTTAAGTTTATTTGATTTATGAAGTTATAAAGGCTAAAGGAAAGACTTGTAAGGAGGATTTTATGGTTTTTTCAAGATTATGTTGTAATTTTCAACTTTAGTGTATAATCTATTTAGCTTAGTACAGAGCTTTATATATGTACAATTTTGATGGAAAGGAAGGATTTTAGGTGGATTTCATGTTATAGGGATTGAAAACAACCTAAGAGAGGGGTGAATTAGGTTATTTAAAAACTAATCAAATTATGAGATACTTTTTTGCTCAATATGAAATTTACCATCTTTTCTAGGTGACCACTTAATGAATCAATTAGTGAGAAAGCAAGAAAACTGAGAGTAGAAGAGATAAGCAATTAAGATTCACAAGATAGTAAGTAATAAGGAAAGAATAGCAAACCAATTTCACTTACAAGCTCCACTTGAACTTGAATATCACTTTATAGAATAAGTTTTTTCAAGTTGATCAAATACAACTAATCTTTATGTACAAAGGAATGATCACGTCCTCCTTACCCCAAACTACATTTGGTCAAGTTAACAAGTTTACTATCACTCCGGATAACCCTCACAAAGCTACAGTGTTGAAGTATTTTTCTCACACAAGAAAAGCTTACACGAAATTCACACAACTAAGAGTACAAATCTTCTTTGTAGAGTATTTTCTTACTAAAATCACTCTTGATCTTTTATAGTCTCAATGTGCAAAAGTCCTCTCTGAGTGGTTGGTCATGCACTATTTATATGAGACCAAAAAGGGACACTATTAATGCTTCCAACGGATAGAAGGCAGCTGAAAAGTCAAATAGTCGTTGGGAGTGTGGGACGTCCGGTGCTCCAGTTTCTTGCGTCCGACAGCAGGCAGTGAGCTTGAGAGATTTTCTTCAATTCTTTCGGACGTCTGGTGTCTCTGATGCTTGCGTCTGAAAATAGATGGTGAAATTGAGAAATCTTCAATTCTTTCGGACGTCCGATACCTCTAATGTTTTGCGTCCGAAGTGCTGCCTAGTTTATCGGACGTCCGATATCTCTGATGTATGCGTCCAAAGAGGTCAGTGAGTTAGGTGGAATATTTTAATTCTTTCGAACGTTCGGTGATGGAGTTCTTCATGCTTCCGAAGTGTTGCACATTTTATCGGACGTCCGGTCCTATCTTCACAAGCGTTCAACAGCTTTCACCTTCCTTTATCTCTTTCAATTACACTGAGATATTTCTTGAAGGGATATTAGTATTATCCAATTATTTTGTAACATCAAAAGTTAGGAACCAAGATTGACATTCTCCCCCTTTTTGATGATGACAAAACAATGGATGGAAGAGAGAAAATTGAGCATAAATCCCCTTCACTCGTTGCATCCAAAATTTTTTAAGTACCAAAACCAAAAATTTTTAAGTGTAACTCCCCCTTACACAACCACCAGTTACATAACATCCCAACATCCATTTCTCCCTTTTTAAGTGTAACTCCCCCTTACACAACCACCAGTTACATAACATCGCAATATCCATTTCTCCCCTTTTAAGTGTAACTCCCCTCAGAATAACTCCCCTTACACAACATCCCAACATCCATTTCTCCCCCTTTAAGTGTAATCCCCCTCAGAATAACTCCCCTTTACACAACCACCAGTTACATAACATCCCAACATCCATTTCTGTGACGCCCCGAAAAGTATAAATGTGAGAACCGAAAATTTTCTAATTTTCTAGGGTTTATTTTATTTAATCGCCCGCCTTTTCTACATTTTCTTTATTAGAAAAATTTCCCAGATAAAGTTTATGAGCAAAGATAGTTTTAAAATGATTTTTCTAGTATCGGTTAGTTTTTGAGAAATTAAAAGCGTATTTTGGACGTGGGACCCGCTAGTGCGGTAAATGCATTATATTTTTGACAATTTGTTGGAATTTTGTATTAAGTGATATTATTTTACAAGGTGTTAAGATATTTGTATTGGAGAGACAAAAAGATAAGTTTTGAACCAAAAGGTGACAAGTGTCACCTTGTGATTTAATCTTGGACTTTGACCATTTGACTTTACCTTTACCTTTACCAAATAAATACCAAAAATTGGCCAAAAAATCTCTTCATTTTGCAAGCTTCTTGGCCGAATGTTCTTGCTCAAGAAAGAAAGAAAAGCTCTCAATTTCTTCCTTCTATTTCTTGCTCAATCTTGCAATCCAACCAATAAAACTCTAAATCATTCCATAAAATCTCTTTGCTAAGTGGTCTTGCGGTGTTTTGTGGAGTTGTTTGGAAAGCTAAGGTGACTAGTTGCTCTATCTCTTGTATTGCTAAGGTGAGTTGTGAAGGACCCTCTCCTTCCTTAATTGATGCTTAATTCATGATTAGTGGTGGTATAAGGTGCAACTTTATGGATTATTTCTTGGTTTTGGTTGAATTGGTGAAGTTTTATAATTTTTGGGGATTTTTCTGTTTTAATATGAGCATGATTGTGTGGCTATGTATGATGATTGGAAATGATGTTTAAGGACTCTATGAGGTGGAAAAAGTGATCAATTGCAATCAATTTCTGTTTTGGAAGAAATTTCAGAAAATCAGGTTTTGTGAAGGAGCATTCTGTCCGAATTTTTAGCTCCTAGTTAGAGGCCTAATTGGCCTTGGTTCAAAACATGAAAGTTGTAGGGAATGACATTTTAAAGGTTCCTACAAAATTTCAGGTCAATCGGAGTAGTGTGGAATGATAAAAGTCGAAATTACTATTGCTGTTCTGGTTTTACTCGAAATTGAGAAGTGCGTCTGTAATGGGTTATTTTGGTTGAGATTGCTTCCGAATTGGTTGTTGAGGTCTTCTGATGAAATGTATCCCTGTTTCTTACCTTTCAGCTGGTTTTGGAATTTCTGGATTTGGACTTCGGTAGCTTGATTTATGATATTTACCCCAGAATGCGATTTGTGAATCTGTTTTTTTCCGGTTCTGGTGTAGTTTCTTGCATTTTGACCTGGTTACACTCGAAACTGGGTTGAGTGACCTTCTGTAATATTGTATCCCTATCTCTTAGCTTCGAAACTGTGTATCTTGCACCTTCATCCGACAATCGTAGTGCCTTTGGTGCCATTACCGCAAAAGGACGTCAAAACTGTTTTTTCTGGTTTTGAGCTTAACTTTCATTTCCGGACTTTTCCCTAGCTTGACTTGTACTAGTACTACTTGGAGCTTGCTGAATGGCTATTGGATGAACTTGTTGTTGTGTGTGTACCTTTGGGACTGGCTGAGGAAATAATGAAGCCATGATGGCTGGAAAAGTTAACAAATTCAGGGGAAGTGCTGTCCGAACTTTGAAGGAACTTGGTTGCATTGAGTTTGTGATTTAAGACTTGGATTTGAGCAAGGCAATGTTATATGATGGATGGTTTCTGAGCCGTGGAGGTGAGTGACCCTAAACTATTTCCAAAGTACTTGTGAATTGTTTCTTGCATTATTTACTCGATTGCATCTCATGCGTGCTTGCATGTGAGTTCATGACATGATTTGGCTTCAATGAGTTCTGGGAAAGTCTTGTGCTAGACACCAACGTCTCCACTCTGTTTATGGTTAATGTTCATGTTTATCTGGAGCTCAAAAAGGGGCTCCCTCTCAATGTTAATGTTAAATGATCTATTTGAGCGTTGGGTGTTCAAGTGCTATGATTTCACTGGCTCACGAGAGCAATAAACGGACATTTGTCGTCGCTTTCTTTGATGCCCATCAACTGCTTTTCTCAATGTTGAAATTCCTAAACCCACACGTGACCTTTCCGATAGCTTTCCATTTATGTCATCAGCTAGGACTCCTGCTGGGTTTTCTAAAGCTATTGCAATGACTTCAGGTCTTTTGCTACTATATTTCCTAACTACTTTTCTCAGAACTTCGGAAACAGTCCTCTCCATGTGAACCAGAGGTGAGCTTACAGGACAACTTGATAGTGCAGCATGTGCAGCTTTGTGCAGTGCATCTAAAAGTTTTCCTTTGTCAAGCCATAAGCAACGTGTTGTAATTTTTATCTTCCCTTTTAGTGTTTTCTCCGTTAGACTGTTTGAAGCCTGGGGGCGTAAAATTTCCATACTGCAAGAAAAAATGAGAATTATCAATCTTCCACTGCAAGTTAAAGAAAATTAAGCCTTTTCAGGTGTCTTGCACAGTTTACCTGATGACTATAATACCATCTGATGCTATCCTAAGTCTCTCATCAATGCAAAGCTCGGTAGATGTCCCAAATGCTTTGTCACCATCACTATACATCAACTGCAATTTCAACAGTATGTAAGCAAAACTTAACTGTTAAAACATCTGGATTATCTGAAAACTGAAAAGCAAATCCATTTTGATTACAGGGTGCAACTATTTGTTTGCTTTGCAGTGTGTTCGTACATGTGTTAGCAGGTTTGAAAGAGATAACCACCTGTAGGTTTTCTTTCCCCAGGGAAGTGAAACCATTAGATAGAACTCTTCTGTTCCTCAGGTGTGAGACACCAAGCATCTCTCCATTCTTTATGACCTGATTTGATAAAATAGCCATTAACCAGACTCTATGAAGCTACCCGACAGTAGGTACACACCAAGCCTACACAGAACAGTTAATGGCACATAGCAAGCTGCACTACATTAGAAGAAAATTACTGTCACAGGACTATTTCTTTACAAGTCCTGCAAGAGCTTTTTGATCCTTCATCCACCTTATAAAAGTGCAAGGACTGGATTTTCTTAGGCTAACAAACCATCACCGAAAATCCGTTACATTTGCTGAGGATGGTTCTCATGGTTAATTGTGCTGTCAGTGCAAGACCATGGTTAATTGTGCTGTCAGTGCAAGAGACTATGTAGAAAGCAACCTTCTTCTTGATGTTAATATCACCTAACACTAGGAACAGTGCTAAGCAACAATAAAATCATTACTTACCACAGTATGCCGAATGCCAGTTGATTTTCCCAACAATTCATGCTCTTTTAGGAATAAAAGCTCCCCATGAATGGGTAGAAAATGTTGTGGCTTCACAATTTTAAGCACTTCATCCTTCAAGAACGAAAGTCAATTCAGTGTTTCATGACCACACAAGTTTAAAGTCCAATATTAATAGAACAAACTAAAAAAGGAACATACAGTAATTGCTATCAACGTTATTCACAAATCTCGTAGTTACCAAAATGTTGAACAAAAATCACAAATGAAAAGACAAAGACCTGCGATGCTTTACTACATCTCAATCATATTAATATAATTCATTACAACTATCCCTAGTATCAAATCATATCAAAAGGAACTCAAATGATACAATCATTTCTCAAACTCTAAAAAATGACAGCACATAAAAGATGAGGTGCTCTGACTTAGATCAGTATCAAAAGTATTTTTTTTTTTTTAAGAAAAAGAGGCAAAAAAAGATTTCTGCATGATGATCATCTTACCAATTCTTCACGATGAGCATGACCAGACGAGTGCAAGTACTCATTCTTGCCCATCACAATAGCTGACCCTATTTCTGATATACGATTAAGCATTTTCATCACCCGAGTTTCGTTACCAGGTATAACCTATAATAAATCATATAAACAATGAAAACCACAAATATATACAGCAGAACCTTGCGGAAAGATTAACAAAAAGTAAAGCTTTAACATGACGATTTAAATATCCAACCAGGTCATCATTGTACAAATACTAGGCAAACAAAGACACATCTGAAAAGGGATGGTAACATCTAGCATGTCATCTGAAGCAATCGACATCTTAAAAGGAACTTAAGTCAGAAACGCTGAACCAAAAAATTGACTAAAAGGTCAATGTCAACATGTAAGGTATGTTTTGACACAGTCTATAACTTTTTCATGTCAAATTTCATCCGAGGAAGTGACAAACTGCCCTCAAAATTAGGATTCAAGTTGAAAGGAGGAGTACATATACTCCAGTTTGAACAGATGACTCAAAAGTTTGCTTAGCCAGAGTAATTCATTCAACAACTCTGAAACTGCATCACGTTGCGAGATATACTAAACTCAAATCAACATCAACCCTGTTGCTCCATCAATAGCTATACCGAAGAAAGCCGCATCAGACATAGTTAGTATAGTTAGGTTCCCAGTACACCGCATCCATAATAATGACCCCTCAACGAAATGACAATTTTCCGAGATTTTCACAAAAAAAAAATGTGTCTTTAAGAATTCGTTCTCTAATTAAACCGGCCGCTTCATGATATTATTATGATACTTATGTCACCACGGATGTGTTGATATCTGCCATATCTAAGCCTCCTCTTCCTTCTTTTTCTTCTTATTGATTTCCTTTGCATGCTCACTTTGTTACCAGAAGAAGATTAGCAGTTATCAGAATAAAAAATGTTTTAGATCTAGAACAAATATAGATAATCTGATTACTCAGAATAGCATTTCAAAGCAAGCTCAGACACAAAAGACACAAGGATTTTTAATGTAAAGATTGCAAGGATTGTAGCCTGATATTACCTAAATCCCCACTAAAACCTTAAGCCACAGTTACAACCATTTCATACGCAAATCTCATTGGTGATTTGCAGAAACAGCTCCAGAACACATGGGTTTCCACTCAACTAAAACTTTGATCACTTGTTTCTTTCATTTAATTAGTCTAAGGAAACTATTTACATGCCTTAACTTAGAAAGACTCATTAAACATGTATAAAGCACAGGTCTGAAATACATTTGAAATATCCACCATGAAGATATTTCACATAATTACTCATTTCTATCTAGATGCCTATAAAAGCAATGCCTTGGCAGTTCAGTTTCCCATGCAGACACACTTTCACATTCCTATCAAATCCCTGTTTAAGCCCTCATCAGCATTTGTTGGACAGCTTCCAAATTGATCTTTGCCAGGAAGATATCAATAATAGTCTCCTAAAACCTCACATTCTTCCTTGTCTACAGATGTTACTATATCTACATCTGTAATTGAAGTATCCAAATCAATGAATTTCTATTGTTATACTGCACAAAAGGTTTCCCCTGCAAATCACCAAGAATGTGTCATTTTTAATTCCAATCAATGTATGTCTGACAGAGACTGGCAGTGACATCTTTTATTAGGTAATGTTAACCGGAAACTAGCTGTAACATCTTTTATTAAATTCAGTGTATTACGGTCTTTCTATTTGGGGATCTAGTAAAATCATTGCAACTGCAGATAGAACAGTTGATACTACATCTCCCAGTGATATGCTGTCCAAATTACCCAAAATCTCATCCCACTCCCAAGAAGAGGTACAAAAGCCCATTCTTAATTTGTATCATGCAATTCAGTTAGTTACTAAGACTTCCTCTTCCTCCTCCTCCTTTCTTTTCCCTTAAGATTGCTTTAATTTCAAAAAGCACTTGACACAAATTGTATAGTGTAGTTATTTTCACCACTCAAAGTCATTACTTCAATTAGTTTAAATTACAGCAATAAATTCCATGCATCAAATTTCTTAGATCTCCTCTCATCCTATTTTCTGATCATATTATTTAGACATTTTCAACCATCTAGAAAAGCATATGTGCTGATACATTTTTTTTAGGCCAAGTGGAGGGCAATCACTCATGGTTAGTCTGTGTATGAGAAATGCAGTTTATCTGAACTTTCATTTAGCCTACGAAATATTTTCATTAGTTTGCTTTAAAGCTCCATCTTTCATGATATCTCACCAGTCTCATCAGCTAGCGTGCTTATGGCTGGTGGAAGCTAGATAAAATTTGGCATTGAACATAATACATTTCTGAGGTATGTCAGGCATGTACATGATTTATTGGAACATTAGTTAGAGGATTAAAATACAGTGGCACCCAAAGTGGCTGAAAAGCAAATACATCTGCTAATCTATATCCTTCAAATAGATATTCAAGCTCCAAAGAGACTTCCATAATTTCCTACAAACATAGTACGGTTAATTTCTTCTCTCCATGAGCAATGCACTTAATATAACCTATTCAGTGGACTCTTTATAATATTTCACTGAGTCTCCTCATTAGCTAGGGTCATTGTGGAATGTGGATGTTGGATATGGTTTATGCACCGAACAAAATGCAAGTCTCAGGTTGTCTTTCATGTAGGCATAAGATGCGTGGATTTATTATAGGGTTAAAAGGCACTGGCACCCAAATTGGGTAATTATGCAAAGATATATTCACATCTATATCCTTAAATTGAAACCAAAAGCTCCAGAGAGATTTCCATACCTTCAATTGGACTCAAAGTTCCAGAAAGACTTCCATAATCTTTTTCCTCAGATTAGGTTGATACTTGAGGTTTTCCTTTTTTTTTTTTTTTGGTTGGTTCCTTCTGCTTTTTCTTTTTCTTATATATCACTAAGTAACCTACAAAATAGACAAATGATCTTATTTACTTTCCCATATCTTTTGCATCAATTTATTTTTCTTTCTCTATCTATTAGTCTTCTCTTAGCTCTTCCTTTCCTTGCAAGATATTCATTTGCAAGGACTGTAGTAGCATTGCAATAACCCCGAGTACAACCCCATATCTTCTTTGACAGGATTGGTTATAATTGGACGGGCATAAATCAGGAAAAAGTGGTAAAAAGAGGATTTTTTAAGCTATAATTATACAATTTGTCAGTCATTTCAAATAATGTATATGAAATAATACGAGACTTTAAAACATATGATCCAAACAGTAATTTCTCTTTAAAATGAAAATCATCCAATGCCTTGCACCTAATTGCTATTATTGCAACAGTTGCATGCAATACAAACAAATTATTCTGGAAAAATCCTTTTTTTTATATATCATTCTCCCAACCTTTTCATCTTCTTAAACACCGTTTTATCTCACATACATTGGATAACAAAAATGCTAGAGTGAATGATACAAAAACATTTCCAACAAATCTTCAATTCAAACGGACCCAAGATATCTAAATGAGTAAAAGTAGCTTCAAATGAAGGATCAAACCTATAGATTCCACTGAGATAATGTGGTTTAGAGAAGATGAAGTAAAATACCATTCCAAATTTGAGGTCGAGAAACATTTATGAAATTATAAAAGACAAAATCATCTGATCAGATCAGAAGCAGAAATACTTTTCAAAGTAACTCTAACTTGCATGCCCAGCAAATCAAGCTCTGAAAAATTACCTTAGCAGAATACAAAATCAAATCCTCTTGTGTCAGTTTGAGTGAATGGCTACTTCCATATGATGCAAGATTCAGTGCAGCACGTGGTTCTGCCTGACACAATAGGTGCACTTACTCAAATGCTACATCAGAAATTTGGATGAACAATAAAAAGTCACTAACGGATGATCACAACTAAAAAAAATCAACGTAACTTACTTGAGAGCCAGTAGTTACAATGAGTAAATCTTTGGGTGAATAAGCATCAATGTCTTCCACTTTCACCTATCCATCACATGTACAGTATGAAAAGCAAGAAAGCGGTTTCTTATTATCAAATTGGTGATATAAGGCATTAGGATGGAGGATGATGGGGTAGCTATGATTACTGAACGCATACTCTTGCATCATCATATTAACCTCCAAAATCTAACACATCAACAAAAAAAAAGTACCAAATGGCAGCAATGGCCACACATGTTGGATACTACAAAAGGTATATTCATGAGTCAAGATTGGCAGGTGATGCATGTCCAATTTAATTACCAACATCAGCAACTAAATACTTTTGGGGCACTAATCATCTGCACATCAGAATTCACTTTTTCAGGCAAGCTCACCGAAAAATGTTCACATATTGATGTAAGACATCTTGGTAGTGTAAAAGCAACCTGGAGTCTTTTCAAAACAAGCAAAATTAATCCTATCAAAGAGAATATGGAAAACCACATATATGGATTGCTCATATTTCATTTCTCTGGAGAACAAATGTAACACAAACAAGCGTCATAAAGTGATTACCAGTGTTGATGGATCAATAGGTGCCTTTCCATCTTTCCATGCAGCATCCAGATATGTCCTCAATGCCATTCCAACAAAAACCTGATGTGCTGATAAAAATTATGTCTGTCCCTCAAAGTAATGGGCAAGGACTAAAAAATCTTAGAGATCTTACCAATTTTCTGCCGGTCAAGTCAGCTGCAGCTTTCACACTTCCGAGACGATGAATATTTGATGCAAATTGGGTAGTGATAACCCTGCCTTTAGCAGCTGAAATACGACGCAACAATGCATCCGCTACAACAGTCTCACTAAGTGTCCTTCCAGGCGAGAGTACATTTGTTGAATCACTCATCATCTGCGATTGAATCGACCCAGTTAATTCACTTCAATAAAGACAGACACTCAGTTAATGTAGCTAATCAGTCCTGATAGCTGAACACTCCACTTTGTCGGGCATGCTTTACTGGCAACAAAAAAGAATTGCTCTCATTTTGTGCTCTTTGAACATGATTAGAGTTTTAGGCATTAGATTTTGAAATTATTTCTTGGATGATTAAAACTTTTTTGAAACCTTTCTTAGTGAAATCAAAATTCTGTTCTTCGTTCCATGGAGGTGCCACTTCAGATGTATCCTACTGTTTTTGACTGAGGACTAAGCAAGAAGACAATCAAAAAATCTAATTCATAGTGTTTGGTTGTAAGGAAAAGCATGAGAGTTGTATTAGCGGTAAGCTACTTTTCCAATGGTGTGTGTTTGGTTAAAGAGAGAATTATAAAAATCTCCTGCACATTACAAAGCTTTCCTACATTTCATATCCTGCAAAAATTGCAAGGTTTTGCTCAAAAAGATTCAGTTACACAGAAGAATCATAATTACCACTAATCACCTATTTCTCCTAATTTTATTTCTTGTCAAACTAACATGCACAAGGAAGCAACTTTCTCTCTCCTATACCTCATTTTTCTGCACTTAGGTTTCCTGCATAGATTTACCACTATTCAGACATAGCATGTTTGCCAAACGATGGAGAGAATGCCAGCAAGAAAAATCAAAAGAGAGAAAACAAAACATAGAGGAGTCACAAAAGACACAAGGAACAGAGAGGATGAGCAAACAGGAATTTCAGCATTGGTTGAGCCTTCTTCCAGCAGTAGAAAAGGAAAGAGGGCAGGGGAACAATGAAAAGAAAAGGAACAACAGAAAAGAAAAGGATAAGCTGTAGTGATGCTTTTAGGTGTGTGCAGGGTGCTTTCTATGGGTTGTCAATGTGAATATGCTATGATGAAGTGGTGCAGTGTTGGAGCTCTGTTTTGGGAGTGTGTGCCAGTGTGGCGTTGAACCCCAATAGGCGGTGATGGCCTTATTGGTTGAATGGTGATAAAGACGGATACTGTGGTTGTGGCTGTGATCTATGCAGCTCTGTGCTGGTCTTGGTGAACAGGGCTGTGCCGAACTGACATGTGCCGCGTGTAAGAGTCATAATATGGAAATGAAGAATGGAAGCAAGGAAGCAAGGAAGAAAGAAGGAAAGTGGAGGAGCAGCAGACACTGCTGCACCAGATGGCAAGAAGTGGTAATAAAAGAGGAGAGATGAAGTAGAGAGGATGATACAGGAGGAACAGGAGAGTTAGGTAAGCAGAAAGGATAAAGAGATGGAGGTCATGAAAAGGAGAGCAGCAACATTCAAGGGACTGAAAGCAGAGAAATATATGGATAAGTAAACCCTAGAGGGACTAGAGGAGGATGGGGACAAAAAGGAAGGGAAAAGGAATAAAAAAGAAAATACAAAGCCAGCCCAGAATTTTACCAATATCCTGAAACTCGATAATTTATCAAAACTAAGAACTTTGAGTGCCCCAGAGTGATCTTCTTAAAAAAATTTAGTATGTAATCCAACTGTTGAATAAAACAAAAAATCGTAAGAAGTTAGCCTGTTAGATAAAATTGCTATTGATTCATACTTTATACATACATTTGGATTTGACTGCAGTCTATTAGAGGTTTATTGTATGACATAGACATTAGGTTTATTTAAGTTGTCCCCAATATTAACTGAAACTCTCCGTTATATATCAATATATGGCATTCAGAAATATCTACAAGCTCATACCAGAAAATTTAAGTACTCCTAGGTATTGGATACACTTAATTAAGGGCTTGTTCTCGGTTCATTATTTTAGCTGATTATGAATTAGTGATTTTAGATAATTAATTTTGTGATGTTCTCGTTTTGTTTTTGTATTCAGATTATAGATTTTTTAATAAGCAAAAAAGCTAAAATCCATAATCAACCGAAGAGTAGCTTTTGCTGATTCTGACTGTTCTCTATAATCACTTTCCATATCAGATTTTGCAAAATCTAAAGCAAGTGAGAACAAGGCCTAAGTAATACTACTGAATTAGCACATTGAACTGATATTATTCATCACCAATAAATGGTTGATGTATCTTTTACTAAGAAACATGATGATCACATCAACTGAATGCCCAGAAAATATAAGATAAGAAGTCCAAAAAAATAAAGACATCTTCAGTTAATTATCTCCCATAGGTTCCAATTTTATCCATTGATTTGACTTGCTTTAAGTATAGGTACTTGTTCAGCAAATAGGAACTAAGAACTTAAACTTTCAAAAACTAGAACTGAACTTAAAAGGTACCAAAATATTGAAAAATAATAGTGATGATAGGTTTTTAGGTCAAGGAAGACCAGGAAAAAAAAAGATAGAAATCCAGTAAAATGTCCAAATGTCCCGATAGGATAGAATTTCGACAGCAACTGTATATCCCCTTCTTACCCATCTAATTTGAATTTTTAAATCCTAGATACCCAACGGCTATATATTTTCAGCAATGGAAACGCAAAATCTGAAGCTCTAAGGTGCATTCAATGTTTCAGAAATGGCCTAGTGAGGAAAAAAATATCATGCATTCTGTAGAATCAACTTAAACTATAAAACAAAAAACAAAAAACAAAAGAGCTTAATGATAATCTAGTGCTTACCAAGGTAACTCCTTCTTTAGAAAGCTCTTCTAAAGTTCCACGGTCAAATACTTTCCCATCTAATGGTGTCTCATCAATCTGTTGAATTTGATAAACTTGTTAACCAAACGTAACTATTCGGAAAGAAAAGAAAGACATCCACCAAACAGATACCTTCCAGTCCCCTGTGTGAAGAATAGTACCATCAGCACAGCGAAGAACCAATCCACAACAATCTGGAATGGAATGTGTAACCCTAATCGGTTCCACCTCAAATGGCCCAGCAACAAATCTCATTTTTGTTTTAAATATCTTGAGCCTAGAAGGAATAAAAATCCCAAACTCCTTCAATCTCTTCTTGATAAGCTGCACAAAAACAGGAAAGGCTACTGCATTTAACATTAGCCAGCATAAACTAAAAGCATTAGGTTTCAATGTGATATGATGCATCTCATGAAGTAAACTAACAAGCACTATTATGATATAGTGCAACTCATGAAATGATATTATGCATCTTGAAATGCCAAAAAGTGATACAATGTGCATCGCAACAGCAGATTCAGGAATCAACATCAGACTGGCATTGCATGTTTGATTTAATAACAGGATTAGACAGGATTACTTTTCAGAAGACTAGTGTGCTTCTCATAACAGGATATTTTTTCTAATACAAGTAGCCAGTTTTTTTTTTCTCCTCTCTTGCACCAGATTATTAACAGGCTATGATGAAGATAGAGGTATAAGGCTTCAGGACTCTGTTTATTGGTTTTTCAACAAGTACATGCATTCTTTGGCAAATAAGCAATGTCCTCATGTTATCAGAACCAGAAGTAAATCAAGATACATAATAACATGCGAACATCGTATATAACGTTCCCATGTACATGGGCTATGATTTTATCATAGAAATGGGTAAATAACAAGCACAGAAACCAACCATATATAGGGTAGTCCGGATTGCTCATACAATCCAATGTGATCACATAAGTGGAATGAACGTTATGAAAAACGGCAAAATCATTTACATTTTACATATCTCATATCTTCTTATCTGGACAACTATATATGAATGAGATGCAGCAATTCTTGAAGGTCATCTAACCACATCTATGCATCTCATGTCATAGGTGTGGCAACTTACACATAAAGCGTTTGAATAGAAGAAAACTTCACATAATTGTAAAATTCCTGTTACAAACCTCCATTGTAAAGGAAGATGCAAATATAGGCGTGCTTGCATCCAAAGCAGGAATTACCTGTTTCAGCAAACAAAACTGATGAATGAGAGAGAATTATGTCATCAAATAGACATGTTTACATAGGAGGATCATTTTCTAATATTGATAATAAGTATAATGGAAGAGAACAGAATGATAGATGAAGAGAATGTAGCCTGACTCAGGATACTATTGCCCTTAAATTCAGCAGGGAATGAGTCCTAGCAGTGTTTCAAGTATTTCAATTTAAGTTAAAATTTTCAACTATCTACTTGAAGCAGTTTATTGGAACTCTAAATGAAATGAAATTTTCATGAATAATTGATTCCAGTAGCTGAGATTATGTATAGCCAATTGCATGCATTGCATTTGTCATTTTCCATTCCATAAGAGCATAGTACTACTAATGTGTTACGCACTAAATAACGACTTGTTTTCTTTGTCTTGAAACTTTGATGAACTGCAACAGGAAACAAGTTACTTAACCAGCCTCAGGCAGTGAAAAAAATGAGCTCCATACTGACCACCACAATAGAAAAACTAAAAGTACCTCAAGCTAATGTTGCTTCAGAATAGAACCACATTCAATGAAGGAACCTCACCAATTTAACCATTCAAATTACTAGAAGAAACCAAAGTAAATCAGCAAGGGAGAACCTTTAGTGACAACCTTAAGACAAAAAAACTACTTTCATATAGCATTCCCTACATTTAATTGTTTATTCTCTTAAAACTGTCTCAGTTTAAAGAGACTTGTCCATTTAATGAGCAATAAAAAAGAATTTCAAACAATCAGAAATGTTTATAAATTTGAATGACCAATACAACACAGAAATAATTCAAGAAGCTGAACAGATCTTTACCCAAGGCAACGCACCAATGTGGTCTTCATGACCATGGGTTATTACAACTGCTTCAATTTTGTGGCTCCATTTCTTGATAAACGTGGTATCAGGTATGATTTTCTGGACGCCAAGCTCATCATAGCTGAAAGCATAGCAAAAAACCGTACATACTCAAATCAATTCTCAGTATGCATGTAACAAAAAAGGTAATCTCCAAAAAACACAAAGAAAAAACAAACTTTAATTTCTCATGTAAGGGGTCTTTTAAGGGAATGTATGATGGGAGTAAAAACTCTCCATTCCCATTTTGCAGAGGGTTCACAAGAAAATAAGAAAAGGGAAATTGGTTTCATGCCTAGGTGCAACAAAAGAAGCAAATTTACTATCAAAGTACTCCTTCACAGCTGATGTGTCCAGCTTAAGCAATTCCTAAGATACAGAATCAAAGAGAGGTGCATGAAAACAAGTTACTGATACTTACCCAGGGAACATCACACCAGCATCGATCAAAATATACCGATCAAAATTTCCAACAAGCATGCAATTCATTCCAATTTCTCCCAAACCACCAATTGGAAGAACACGCAACGGTGGGCCATCAGAACCTTCATAGAACTGTTCCATCTTACGTTGAACAGAATCTTCCATACTTTTTCGAGGTCCCTCGGCTCTTCCTCGAGATCTTTTACGAGGTTCTCTCGACCCACCACGTGAACCTAACACAAAACCAAGCAATTATGATATGCACCCATAAAAATATATATATCAATACACCCTTATAAAAATTTAAAGGTATCTAAATCCTCTACATGTAAATTGGACAACCAAGCAATAAAAACTGAAAATTTCCCAAGTGTGGTTACATTTCGTGTTTTCCTCTTTTCTATATCTCCGATTTTAACAAATAAAACCAGTAATTCTGTTTTCTGCAAACTTTTCTTCCTAAATGACATTATCATACTAAATAATTTAACACTTATTTGCATAAAATGCAATAACAGAAAGGGTAAAACACAAATTTCTTAATTAGACAGAAAATAGCAAGAAATAAAAATCGCAACAAGAAAATAGAGCAAGGCAAACTAAAACATAACAAATACTGCTTCATCCTGAGCTAACAGCACTAAAAATTACAAACCCTATGGAAATATTCACTGAAATTAAGACAAAAAGATAAGAACTTCATTGCTTGTAAATTTTACAGTTCATTACCTATAGTTGAAGTAGAATGCGAAGGTCCACAGCAAGAAATGCATTGTCTACTAGGATTTGGGTTAGCTGCTCGAAATAGAGAACCCTTGTGAGCATAAGGATAGAGTGAAACTGCACTGAAACTGATAGCAGCCATGTTTTCAGTCGAAATTAAGTAAGTTCTTCCTGTTCAATTTCTACATAAGTAGAATTTTATTGATGAAAGTGCATTTAGAAATGCGTATTTGATCTGAAATTGGAATTTGGGACGAAGGTTTTGGGAAATTGAATTGAAACCCTAACGAGAGAGCCTTCAGAGTGTTTGGAGGGCCTTAATAGGGGCGGGAAATGGAGAACAAGAACAGAGATATGATAGAGAGAGAGTATGGGTAAAATATCTTATTTATATTCTTTTTTCTTAGGAGTATCATTTTCGGCTATTTATACTTATACGTATTATCAGGACTCTGTTTGGATTGGATGAAAGGAAACAAAAGGAAAGAAAAGAATATCAATGGATTAAAAAAAAAAGGAGTAGAGGAAAGTGATTTCCTTTCATCTTATTTCGATTCAGTATGGAGGAAAAGAAAAGAATTGAATTTTTGTTTGAATTGAAGAAGGAAATGAAACAATGAATTGTTAATTTATTAAAAAAATAGAGAAAATCATCATTTAAAATAATTTAAAATAATTTTAATTAATTTAGTTTCATTTCTCTCCATTTTCGCCCACTATTAACTGAAAATGTGAGGACTCGAATTTTATTTTACTTACTTTTATTTATTTTACTGACTTATTTAATTATTTATTTATTCGTTTACTCCAATTAATTTATTTCACCCATTTTAATTTCATTTGCATTGAACACTATCCCATTTTATATTTTTAAAAACGTTTGCTAGTAAATTTAATTTTTCTACGGCTCGATTAATTAGAAATAGTGAATACACGTTTTTCGAGATAAAATTCGGTCCGAGAGTGCAGTGGTCTTGGAGAATTAAAAGTGATCAATAGTAGACTAAGAAAAGTTAATTGAAATATTAGAGGTGAGCGAGTTAAATTAATCTCAAATAGGAATACTAATTGCCCACTATTAATTTGTTGACTTTTTATACTAAAGTACCTTTATGTCACTTCTACCTTTTCATTCCATCACTTCACCAACATCACACACAAACCCTTTCTTCCCATCCTCTCTTGCCCGACCCTTCCTTCACCCTTTCTTACCAAAATTTCAGCTAGCTTTTCTTCCATTTTTGCTCGAAAAACACACTCCAAACTTGCTCCTTTTCTTGGAACATCACTCAAGTTTGAAGGAAGATTTGAAGGAGGAAGGAACCTTGGTGGTTTAGAGTTTAAACTCTAGTGATTTGGTCTTCATCTCTTGGAAGTAAGATAACACCTCAAAACTCTTAAGCCTTGTTTGGATTGCTTGTTTCCGTCGGAAAATATTATCGTTTTCCGTGATCATATTTCCCTATCACCTTTTTCCCTCACATATATCAAATCGCTACAGTAATTTTTCCATGAAAAATGACGAAAAATGCAATCCAAACACAACCTTATTTTTCCTTTCAACTTATGGTTAGTTTAGTTAGTTTTAACTAGTTAAGCATTGGGTTGTTGATCGGTTCAATGAACCTTGACTCTAAGTAGATGTCTTGAGATGGCTTCTTAGGTAGTGGTCTTGACGAATTATTGTGTGTTTAGTTGTTTGTTTGATGTTTGTTTTGATGAATTATGTCTTAGTTTTGGTTGGGAAAGTTGAAAAGAAAACTTGAAAAAAGGAAGAAGCATGCTGTCCAAAATTTTACTGGTTGATTCCCTTATGTTAATTTCGAATTTAGTGGTTATTTTGGTGCCAAAATGCTTGTTATATGTTGGTGTTTATGTGTGTCAATTATCTCTCAAAAAGTATTTCATTTGGTTGAATTAAAGTTGGGTTAAAGTGAGAATGCAAATCTGAAAAATTTCTGATCAGGATACCAGACCAGTGTGTACGTATCAGCCCATAACTTTTCGTTCAGGAGTTGAAATTAAGTGCTATTTATGGCATCTGAAACTAGACTCTGAGAGCTTTCCAACGGTATAAAATGCACCTTCTAGTTCATTTTCTATGAGCCGTAGTGAACCGACAAATTTGACTGATTTTCCTCACTATTTTCATCTGAGAAACAAGCATAGCTGCAATTTGTAGCTCATTTTCACCCATCTTATAAAATGAATTTTAAAACAGTTTCTTCTAGTGAATTTTGGAATTTTGAGTCTAGTTTTTAACGCCTCAAACCACATGAAATTTTGAGTTGTGTAGCTTTAGTTATGGCCATATTTTGAAACTGTGTCAGGTGCTCCAAAACTGGAAATTCCGTGAATCAGGTCCCAAAAATTAGCTTTCCAAAAACTGTTGTATCTTGGTATAGAAAGGTCCGAATTGGGTTCCGTTTGGTGGTTTTGAAACTAGATTTGGAGTTCTATTATTGGTATAAATTTCAAGGGTTGATTCTATTTCTATGAATTTTGCGAAATTTCCAAAATTTACTGAACATGCAAGACTGTTTTGCTCTGTTCTTGCTAGAACAGTGAGTTAGAGCTAAAATTTGAATGATTTTGGATTTGAATCTAGGAAAAGTGTTTTCTAGAGAGTTTTAGTACATTAAATCTAGTTTCCAACGGTATAAAATTTCTAATTTTTGGACTTACGAAACTCGAGATATGATTTTTTTAAGTAGTGTCACACAAAGCCAGAATTTTCTGGTTTCAAACATAATGCTGTTTTAAAAACTCTCAACTTTCCTCTGAGATTGTTAGTTCATTTTAAGTTTGATTTTATCGATGGATACAAGGTCTCTTTGAACATTAGACCTTCATTTTGAATCTTGGTTCCCAAAGGATTAAACTTCTCTTGATGCGTTTTCTTGGTTGCCTAACTTTCTTAGTTAATTGCACCTCAATTCATACTTGAGAAATGGATTTCAACCCCTAGTTTTATGCCCTTAATTTCCATGACGTTGAACTCGAAAAAAGGAGCATTTTAGCTAGAGTAATTCTTGGAGAATTTCACTAGTTTATACTCGAAACTTGGAATCTTTAGCTTTAAAATTTACTAAGGAAATGAGTGGAGTTTTGATGAATTCTGACTCCATTAGTTTAGAAAATGTGAACGCTCCTTATATTCTAAAACTTGGGCGTAGGACTAGAAGTTTTGAGAGATGAAAATCATCTTCCCTTTTCTCGATTTTCGTGCCAAAAGTAAAAATGGTACTTTCTTTTGGAACTGAAGGTTCTTGCCAAGACTTGACTCAAAAATGACTTTTGAGTTTCCTTTGAGTATTATTTCAATAATTTAGCGAGCAAGGCTCCTTTAACTTGACTCGAACTTGTGACCTTGAGAGTGGGTAGCAAGAAGATGTTTTTCTTATTAGCCTTAGTCGAGTACCTAGCTAATCGTAATTGTGCATGTCTCAGGTGGTCACGTGGACGCCGAGAAGCTTGTTTGACCTCTCGCTTTTGCTCTTATTTTGCCCTTGACTTTTGGTGAGTGTCAAGTGCATGTTCAATATTACTATGATTGAAATAATTTTTGTACAAGTGCTATATGATACGTGAACTTGCCGAGGCGAGAGTGTACTTTACCGCCTTCGTCCTCTCTCTCTCTCTCTTGATTAAATGATATTTGTTACATGAATGTTTGTGATTTGCACTTGTACCCAAACATGTTTTAACTCGTGAGCACTAAGCGGCAGCATATACCACACCCTATTCGGGTGGGAGGTGCCTCTCATACCGACTCAGTGCTATAATCGATTCTCTGAGCGGCAGCATGTACCATACCCTAATCAGGTGAGAGGTGCCTCTCATACCAACTCAGAGCCATGAACAATTCTAAGTCGATTGAGCGTTGTCTCATCGATCAATTATACTTGTGGGGAAGCCCCAACTCATTGGCTAATCTCGTAATTCGAGTCGGCAAGGGTTTGGTCGAGAAGTTTGGTGAACCATGGGAAATTTTATAACTTGATCTTTTGAGATCTTGCTTGGCATACTCGATTAGTATCTCCATCTCATGCTTGTTTGGTTCCGGATCCAAGTGGGTGTTATGTTGGATAGAGAAAGTAAGTGGAGCACTACGGTCTTGTTGTTACTTGAGTTGATGGAGAGTCAACCTCGAATGGCTTGAATCAATCGGGACGTGGAAATAGCTCCTGAGAGCTCCTGTATCCTTCCATGTGTATTTAATTCCTACTTGTGTACTCAAATGAAATTTCATGTGAACGTTGCTTTCAAGTATATTATTTGATTGATTAGTGCTACTTGCTTGCTTGCTTGATTTTCTTGGCCTCACTGAGCGTTAGCTCATCCCTTTAATTTTGTTTTCCTTAACAGGACTTGGAGGTGGAAGTTGGTGATTCTAGATTAGCGATTTTTGGTGGAAGCTAGTATATCTTTTGTATGTTATGAGAGACATTTGAAGTGAACATTTTGTTATACTTGGAGATTCTGAATTGTAATTGTAAATGCTAGCCTTTGAAGTTTTGGCCTTGTATATTCGAAGTATTTCTTAATTAAGTCCATGGTTAATTTGTGTCTCTTTATTAAGCTTGAACGAGTGTGTGAGTCCTGACGAGAGTTGGGCAGGCGTTCTGCTGATATTCTAGGGTTCGCCCTAGGGAGAGGTGGAGGCATCACAGAAAAACTATAACTTAACAAAATAATTAGACTCTTTCCCTCCGTTTCCTTCCTATCCTTCCCTTTCCCTTGCTTTCCCTCACCAAAATATCAATCCAGAATAGAATCAAGTGTAGCTTGGTCATGTTGTTGAAGTAAAGATGAGTTACTAATAAGCGTCAAGAGTTAAAATTGCAACTAGTTCTTAATTTTCTAAGCAATAATTAGCTCGTGAGAAAAATAACTACAAAATAAATTATAGAAACATGTATATTAAAGATGAATAACGTTATTATAGGGTGACTTCAACGTGAGAGCATGTCAAATTACATAAAAACCCATTACTTTCAATTCTTCATTCTTTCTAATCTAAAATATCAACTAATCAACTTGATCCCTTAATTCATCCTTTCCCACCCATTTTAGTCCTTGACTTCTAGGCCTTTCCTTATCCTTTTCATTGCTGCCACTAACTAGATGTAAATGTTGGTTATTGTGGTGGTTGTGGACCTTGTGGTGGTGATGTGCGTGGTAGACTAGTGGAGCCCTTTCCACATTTGTCTCCCTCCTCATCTCTTTCCCTAATGCCCCATCTGATGGTGTATGGTAATTCTGGTGGACAGTCTTAATGATGATGTGTATGGTAGATTGGTGGAGCCTTTTTTCTTCCGTCTCTTATCATTGTGTACCTGATGTTGCCAATTAGATGGTGT